GCCGTGAGGAAGTTCAGCTTAAAGACACGTCCCAGAGGCGTTTCTGGTCCCCACCTGTCGTTTTGCTCCTCAGCATGGCTGCCAAAAAATTTTTAATCCTTTATTTATACAGGAAAATCTCTCGAGTCTCATTACCTGTTTTAAATGTAATTAATTCGGAAAATATTTCCAGGACCCAACTTTGATGTTTCAGCACCACACTGTGGGTCCCGACCCCACCTTTGGGAACCACTATGGGATGAACTAGCTTACAGGTTCATGAGGATTTTAAAAATCCTTCAATTTAATAAGTCTTATTATTCTGAATCTTTAAAAAGAAAAATCTTCCCTCTCAGCTGCTGTAATGAAGCATGACCACTGGGTGGCAGCATAACATCGACTAAAATGTATTAAAATCACAAATATGGTTTATAATTAAGAAAATGTATGTATCTATGTAACAATAACAGCTGACAGTTTTTAACACCTAGTCACTTATTAATATATAACTAAAATTATAAGTTTAAATTAGTTTTATGCTATAAATTGTAAAAATCCACTTTGTATTTGCTAAAGAAGCACAAAATCCATTTTGTTTGATTTTATATTATGAGAAACAGCTCACTGTGACTCATACAGGAGCCAATATTGAAAATTTTATTGAAAACTTGTTTTAACTATGAAATAAAACCCACCTGTTTATCACCAATTAAGTGCCTCTTCCCATTTTTTCCCATCATATAAAGACCTTTTACAGAACTTCACCAGTTTTTAAAAATATTTAAGCTTTTTTTAATAACATATTTTTTATACATGTAAATAAAAACAAGGCTGTGAAAAAGTCCAATTAAAAACATTGTTTCAGATGAAACAGGAACATTCTAATGTAGCATTTTTTTTTCTCTCCAGTGAATTACTGAGAAAGTGCTTCGGAGGTCAAGCCCAAATCCTTCTGGCATTAGTAGGTTTATAAAAAGTATAAAACAAAAAGCAGGCACATGTTTGAAGTCGGGTGATGGTATTAGTGACAAAGGCTGACAGATAACGGGACCAGAGCGAGGATCAGGTGTTTTGAGGCGGCTCAGTCAACCAGACACTTTCAGCACCTGCGGGTGAAGGAACGCCACGACAAGACTGATATCTAATGATGGAGCCCAAGTTTGGTTCTATTCTCAGTTTGAGTACTCTGAAATAATTTGGGCTAAAAAATAAAACACAACATCTAGATTTATTTTTTAAATTGGTGCCTGAATTAAATTGTCCTTTTATTTTAGAGAAGTGCTGAATCAGGGCATCAGTGTTCGTGTAGTGAAGCTGATGACTGTCCTGTTCACACAGACGCATCAAGAATACCACACAGGAAATAAGATCCAACGCTTCAAGCTTAGAGGGGAATGCCCCAGAGACATTATTTAAAGTATATCATGTTCGACTGCATTTGTCTTTCTATTTTTGGGAGCAGGAGTTTGGGTCAGCCCTGTCATTTCTGTTAAGACACAGTTCAACACAACTGCAAAGCAAAACGACAGCTACAAGGTGTTTCTGTGGACAATGGATGAATAATAAAACAGACGCCGTGTTGGTGGGGAAAAGGTCTGATTCGAAGAGATATTTGCAAGAAATACATTTGATTTTGTAGAACCGCCACCCTCTGCTCCTCTGGACAGAGGGGATATTTAAAGTCATCAGGCAACACAGAGACAATGAGCGCAGAAAGCTGTAAAATCTGTTTCTGGTGCTGATGCAGGGAAATCTGAAAAAAGAAGGAAAAACACGGTGTAGGAAACCCGAGTGTGTGTTTTGCTGCCAGTACCTGTTCAGACAGACAGGTATTTAAAGTTTAATAGCCCCTCTGTGTCTTGTTGTTTTTCTTTTATTTTCCCTCAGGTTTTTACCTCTGACATATAAAAAATGAAGAAATCACAGAGCTGATTGTGATCCTTGTTTCAGAGAAATTTAAAGTTTCCAGAAAAAACAACTACGTCGTGATCGTGTTTTTACCTATTGTCTTCAAATCTAAAAACGCAAAACCGCTAAATATAATATATATATTTTTTATAGCTAGCTGGAAATAAAACAAAAAGTGAGAAAAATAAATAAATAAATATGTAACAGCTGATGTCAGAAATGTGAAAGATTTTACAAAGAAGAGAAATCACACAGAGGCACTCTGCATCAGTTAAGTCAAACAGATTTTCCTGAATGGGTTCAGACAGGTGAGGAGGCTGTTGTGAGGCAGAAAGATGGGCAAAAGAGGTGGGCAGACGTATACGCAGTGGAAAAAAAAAACAGGGCGTACCGCCCGGAGTCGTGGGGCAGAATGAGGCTTGTAGCAAATAAAAAGAGAGGAAAGACGGAGACGATGGGGCAAAGATACGCAAAGGGCTCGGCAGTAAATTGGGTTTAATAGACTAACAAGCTTGTCTGCAAAGTCGTCTTAAAGCTCCAAACACAACAAGGTCAACAACTTAACTGTTAACTCCGGTCAAGGTGTGACCGACTGGATAAGATGGGAAAAATAATAATAATAATTTCTGACTTTATGACCTCTAAAAAGCTACATGTCTTGTTTGAAAAAATGACAAGATCTGAAATTAGAGATATATAATAAAATAATAAGTTGTTTTGTTTAATCATTTAGCAAAATATTTCATTTGTGTTGCTTTAAAATCTTTGAAAAGCTCTGTCTCAGGACCACGAGTTAAAAAAATAGACACTGCATCTCATATGATTTTTATGAGTTAGTTGTCAGGGGGACATGGGGGAAAAGAGTCAAAACAAACACAGTGAAAAAGAAGGGCAAGCTGGGATACCAAAAACAAAACGAAGGATTTACTGGATCACTTACAGCTGTATCAGTTGGTCCCAGTTCAGAGCGGGAGAAGGATTCCGACAGCTGGTGTGTGTGTGTGTGTGTGTGTGTGTGTGTGTGTGTGTGTGTGTGTGTG